TGTTTCTATCCCCTAGACAGCTTAGACAAGATGACTTTTGCTCTGAATCACTCAGAATTTGTCTCATTTACACAACTAGAATAGGCAAAACCTCAAGGTACACAGACCCTTAAGGAGCAAGGCAGAAAGAGCAGGTGGACAACCACTCACTAGAAAGAGACCATCAGGATCACTAGACGTTCCCATCACAAAACTTTTCCAAACTATGCCATTAACTTCATTCCTAAAGAAGTAGCACCCATTGCTATAACAGCAAAGCCTTGTATCACAGCTGGCATGAACTGGGCGCTGACAGCCCTGATGAAAAGAGAGAGAAGGACAGAGAGGGGGGGAAAATACTGTAAGGGTGGGGAAAGGAAAAAGCAATAGGGATTTTCATGCTGTGAGACCTGGTACAGACATTTAAGGAGCCTTACTGCAGCTTTCAGTACTTAAAGAGGGCCTATAAGAAAAATGGGGAGAAACATTTGAGCAGGGCCTGTTGTAATAGGACAAGGGGTAACAGTTTTAAACTAAAGGAGGTTCAATTTATATTAGATATAAAGAAGAAATTTTTTACAAGGAGGGTGGTAAGGCACCGGAACAGGTTGACTAGACCAGGGAGGTGGTAGATGCCCCATCCCTGGAAACATTCAAGGCCAGGTTGGATGGGGCTGTGAGCAACTTGATCTACATGAAGACGTCCCTGCTCATTGCAGGGGCTTGGACTGGATGACATTTAAAGGTCCCTTCCAACCAAACAAGTCTATGATTCTACGATAAAACCCAGCAAGAAGCACAGCACACACAGCTGTTAACAGCAGTTAACAACACACAGGTCCAGACTCTTCAGCCACTCACCTGGGACAGCACTGCCTCTTCCCACAACCACCAAGGAAGAGAATTGATTGGGTTTATAAAGCCAGGTCTCCTGACCCGGTGCAAGGAGGGCTCCTTCTCTCTGTGCTAGTAAGGTTGACCCCCATCTTGGACCAATATGGGAAACTAAAACTCCTGGGAACACCTGCTGGCTCATTTGCACCTCCCAGGATATTCTCTCAGCTTTGGCAGAAAGGGGATTTCCAGTTCTGGCTTCCTTTCAAGACCTTCCAAAAAGTCAAATGTGTAGATAAAAAAGTTTCATTCTTCATTAAGTTCCATCATTTTCTTCCCCAACACTTACTAATAAGAGGCTTCCTTGCCCTCCAGCTGCCTGGCACCCTGATGAAGGTGACAAGCAAAATACCTGAGAAAGAATCCAAAGGTTCATTTTCTCAATTGCTTTGCCTGTGTAGTTGGCCAGCAGGTGACCATAATCATCACCACAACTAGATGGAAATTTCTCTTAAAGAACTGAGAAGCACAAAATAAAACCAGCCCAAAACCAAGTCCAGCATTGCATCACTCACACAGAACAGCAGGACCCTCCTCGCTGTGCAGACACGCTCAGCTGTGCACATCGAGCAGGATCGTGGTGGTCTCCCCTCCTTCCACAGGGAACTGTCAAGGCCACTGCACGTCACATCCAGCTGTGGGCACTCATGCCAAACAGCTGTCTCTGGTTTCTGAGCTGCACAAAGGGCATGGCACTGCCTCAGAAACAACATGGGAGGGTGAATGCTTCTTTTCTCACAGGTTGCTTAGTGAGCCATTTGCTACCAGCCAGTTGAGTTTCAAAGTAAGCCAGCAGTGTGTTGCCACTTTGTCCTCATGGTGTTAAAAGCGATTCATGCTGAAGCGAAGCGAAGGCTTCGCTGAAGTGAAGGTAAAGTTGCTTCCTGGCCTTATTGACCACCAACTAGTGGTGGTGGGTGTACTTGAATTCCCCTTGGCAGGTGGAGGCCGTTTCCAATGGGATTCAGCTCCATTCAAAGCAGAGACACACTAACCAGAAATAAAACACCCCAGCCCTGTTACTATTGCTGCAGGAAGGTGGGTTACAAAATCTGCGGCCTAGCTTTGTCTAAACAGCTCTGGAGAGCAGCCTCCTCATGAGCAGGCTGTCAGTAGGTTGTGTTTCTGAGCACTGTGTTCAGGGGGTGGATGTGCACTTAAACCAGCAGCGTGGCTGCATTTGTTTGGGAACAGGCACTCCTCTTCCTCAGGCACGTTGGGAATGCTGCAAAGCCATCGGCCGGAACTGGAAGAGCCAAAAGGGAGCCAAAGACTTTGAAGAAGCTCCTTTTTTTTTGTCTCTCCCTTTTTTTGGCCCCCAGTAATCACTTCAGCAATCACCAGCTTTATACCCATGTTCTCACTTGGACTCCATTTCTTTCATGACATGCATGTGACAGTAAATAACTATGGCTGTTTGAGAAACAAGAGTCATGGCCTCATAGGCACTGCTGTGAAATGAGGTAAATAGTGATGGAAAAGGGAAACCGTGGGTGGTTCTGGAATAATTTTGTCTGGGACCATGTTTTTTGTGCTCAGGACAGCTGTGCTAAAGCACGCACTTGGCCTAATGTATGTGGTCTCCATACTTTTGCACTGAGCTTTCCTTTCCTGGGCTGCTCTGGCCATGCAGCCTCAGCCAGGTTTTCTTTCCTGCCTTAAGTCATGTTGTTCATCTTTTTACTCAACTTTTCCCTTATTTTACTACCACAGGTTAAACTGTTAGGTGATGTCATGGAGATCTTAATTCCCAAAGTGGTACCAACCCATCCAGGAACTTTTTCTTCTGAGAGATACTAAGCTTTGAAAATATTTTCACAGAGAAATTCCTCACAGCATTGCATTTTTTTTTTTTTTTTTACTCCATCCAATGTGATATTTATAGCATGTCTCTTCTCTAGAGCATAATCTTAAGTTCAGCATTTAAATTCTCAGCATTAGAAAAATTATTTCTCAGTGCACTAATGTGCTCAGCCAATTTTGGATTCCTGCTAATCAAACTTTTTTCCAGGTGTATCATACTTGCTTATGACTTAACATCAGATAAATCAGAACTAGGGCTTTTCTAGACTGTAAAATGGATAGTGGCACTGTTTGCAATAGTCAAAAATAGAACATTTTGCATAGGATAGGATAGGATAGGAACAGGACAGGCCTGACTTCCTAGGCCACACATATCTAAGGAGGAGGGAAGACTACGCTTGTCTGAAACTCCAGTTTGACCAGGACAATCAGCTTCTGCTGTAAGATACTAAAAAAAAAAATAAATTAATTTATTGCTGTGTCAAATCTTTCCCATCCAGGTAAGCCTGGAAGCATTTAGCCTCTTTACAGAAAGAGTATGACAGATATTATCTCTCTGCCTGCTCCATAGTTGTGACTAATCCGCTTAACTGAAAGACTGCATTGTTTTGTGAATTGGAAAATTAATTTTAAAATGTTTGCTTGCTATTGAGGATTTAGATCAGATTAGGCCAATGCTTTGACTAAGCAGCTGCAGTCTTAGGTCTTCCTTCTCCTCACTCATAAAAGAAGTGGCTCTTTACCACTCCTGTCCAGTCTTACAGCTGCCATGGACTTCTGGGTATATTCCCTTGGAACTCTTTACCTTGTAAGTTTCTCTATTGGTGTGTTTCCCACAGAAATTATATTGTGAAGAATTACCAGTTTCCCTGTCCTTGAACCCTTTTTATTAAGTAAAAACCTTTCTAGTGTTCCTTTTAGCATTTACCAACCCCTGCCAGCACATAGGTCAGGTTTACAGAAGAGGGACAATTTTGCATGGAGCTTGGTGGGAACTACCGATGCATTTGGTGCTCACACAGCACCACACACCTTGTGGGGCTTGGGGAGGAATTCACTTCCTCCTTCTGAAAGCCCCAGAGATGGCCCCTGCAGCTGGCAGGGCTCATACCTTCATCAAGTCATCAAGCACTTGCTGCCAGTGACTTCACACACTCAGCACCTTCCAGACAGCCCTGGAGAGCCCAGATGCCAGCCCCGGACTCTTAAGTGACTACCCAGATCTGTTGCTGCTGCCTGCAGGTGGATTTGAGCCTATGCTAAAGCTGTGTTGAACCCAGCAGCCCTCTGAGACTTGATGCTGCCTAACCACGCACAGAGCAGCTGAAAACTTCAACAATATCAGGCCTCAGAGAGCTGGATTTCTGCCTCCAAAGAAACTTTAAACTAACAGAAATTGGGGTAGACAGTCCCTTTCCTCTTCTCAGGTATGTCACCTACAGGGAAAAATACTAAATTGTCATCTACCTTCATCTAGGCCCATTGCCTGTGCCCTTATACTTTGCATATGAACCAACACCTTTATAGGTCCAAGCCGCATTTTCTAATTTTGTGATTCGAATACTTCAGTAAAGGAAAGGAGCTGAAATTGCTCTTGAGGTCAATTCAGATTAAGAATCACCCTTACACTGGTAGTTCATCTATTCCCCCTTCTTTGCCTCAGGGTGAAGTTTGGCTGCTGGAAGATACTATTTGCAAACTGGGCTCCATCTTCTCCTACTGGAAAATGACACCGAACATCTGCTAATTTCCTGACCGTGTACGTTACTAGATCTATGGCTTAGGCCTCAGAGGATAATGAAGTTCTTCCACCCAAACCACTGGGAATGCTTCATATCCAAACCTCACTGCCTCTGCTCCAGCACGTGTGTCACAGCTGCTAAACGGGACAGAGCATTGCTATGAGGAGGGACTCTCTGCTCATCTCTGATGTCACCAAGGACCAGGCTCTGAAACGCCCGTGTCTTCTGAGCACTGCAAGACCAAAAGCCAGCTGTCATCTAACACAGCTTGTGTTCTCACTAAAGTATATGCCCATTGTCACGGCATCTTCAAGAATGAGGCATTTCTCCTCATGTCTTGACCTGGATTAAACACGAACCAGTCACTGCATTGTGCTGTGGAGAAATGAAGTCTGCCCCAAGTCGAAGAAAATGCTGCAGGACATTTGGCTACAGCTGACATTCTCTCGCCAGCACTTTGCAAATTCTGCTCCCACTCATTTTGAGAGGGTGCCCAGCACCTTACAGCTGCCTACCAAGGAGGAGCCGATGCCAAGGCTCTCCTGCGTCCATCCACACCAAGTAAAGCAGAGACCAAACCCGTGCTTCTTACAAACAGATTTATTTGCATTTTGACTGGAGCACAGATTCTAGATACAGATTTCTTCTGCACAACAGTACAAGAGCCAGTGCAAAATATGCTTTTTTCTTTTTTTTTTTTTTAATTCATGTACAAAAAAACCCAAAAACAAAACAAAAAAGACAAAGAGTGTGGCAGTATTTACTCACAACTGGTAACGCCTCAGCCTCCCATCGACCCACCTCCACTCGCCCTTGCCCGTCATGCCAACTTTGTGGTCATCAGCATCGCCTGCCTCGAACGGCTGCACTGTCAGTGAAGAGAGGTAACTCCCCGGCCCTTTGAAAGATAAACACTCACTCCAAGCAAACTGGGACACCACCAGGCTACTTAAAGAAGTTGAATACACCATCTACTCGCCAGGGAGCAGAATTTTGAGGGAATGGCAAAAAAAAAAACAAAAAAAGGTATAAATCAAAAATGCAAAAAAAATTTAGGCACTAGCTTAACCCATTTGTTAGAGAGAAGCAAGGATGTCAGATACAGTCTGCCTTCTCATATTCACCCACGGTAGTGATGATCAAAGCCAAACACTCCCCACTCTGAGTACCCTGTGCTGTCAAACAGATTATAATCTTATGAAAATATTTCTATTAGTACCATAAAGTTAAACCATTTCATAACTGGAGGAGAAAGAGAAGCTACAGTCTGAATATAAGCATTTCTTTGAGAAGTCAAAAAAGCCCAAAACAGATACAGACAAAAAAACCTGTCCCAGTCACCCACCAGATGATTGTTAGAATTACAGCCAATGCTTAAGCAATACAACATCGAGCTAGGAAAAGTCATCGTATGGTTGTTGTGCTTAGGGAGTAGCCTTACTAGTTCACAAAGCGTTGGGCAATCTATTTCTCTGTTATTCTAACTAATTTTCAGAAGCTGCAATATAGAACTGCAGTGTTAGTGCAACAATATGCTCTTCTTCACCAAGGCCTGGGATTTATATTGCAGAAATTCACCAAATTTACATCACTCCAAGTGTACTGTGTCCAAATCACCTAGAGTCGCTATTACGGACTTTTACACTTCTACCCAAGGAATGGCTGGGTTTGGAAGCTTGGTCAACCAGTCTCTTACATTGAACTGCAGTTAAACAAAGCAGAGTACCAGTTAAAGCCAAAGAACACATGTACTCAGCACAAATATGTGTTGATACAGTACAGTAGGTATGTGGATATATATATATGCATATATATGTATATGTTACATTATAAGGAGAGTGCCATTCAGGGCTTCTCCACTGCAAGAATCCTTTTACCACATCCAAGCCTTGAAACTTCAGCCCGTTAAATTTCACACTAAGACAATAAGAACTGCAGTGTTTTCCAGATTGAATGATTATTTTAGCCAATTAACCATGCAGGGCCAGCTGAAAGAACAGCTTTCATTTTAATAGCACCAGTCCTGACACCTCCGTCAGATGGCCAAATTTTTATCACCAGATTATTTGCCCCTTCAGTTGTGTATCATGGGCATTTCTGAGTTCTCAGGACATCACCAGAGTCATACTGCCTGATCTGTATCAATTTACTCAGTTGATAGAGAAAATGCCACAATTCATGAAATCGTTTTGAACAGACAATACAGATCTGATGAGAACATGGGTTTATACTTTGTAGTACTGGCTGCAGTATTGGTATAAATCACATGATGATTCTGCCTTTTCATTCCCAGTAAACCCACTTCTACTCATAGTGGCTGTCATCATAAATACAACTGAAGAGCTGGACAGTTTGGGAAACCATATCATTCACTGTTATCCTAAGACCCAGTCCATATAAAGGTCTGCTGTACAAATTTCACGTATAGCTGAAAAAAGTCTCATTTAAACCACTTTGAGCAAGTTTCATTTGTTGCTTTTTAAAAAAGAAATAGGAGCAACAACAACAAAATAAAGCAAAAATAAGTGTAACAGACACTTAGGAGCAAAGTAAATGCAGAACTCTTTCGGATGTTTAGATGAGTGGGAGCTACTCACCTCCCTTGCCTTTAACCTATCTAGAATTTAGGTGTCTATCCCAGACTAATCATTTGGGCTTCCATCAGTCTTGAGGAAACAAAAGTTTCCTTCTGGAGCTTGTCACATCCACAAACAATTCAAAGGAGTTCGTCCAGGGGCAGCAGACCCTCTGCAGCCACAGGGAGGGTCTCACCTGGCACTTCCACAGGTGAGACAAGTCTCTCTCTCTCTCTCATTCCTCACATAAGCCACTAAAATAAATCCTGAAGGCTTTGCGTGGTTCCTGCATGGACAAACTCAGTTTCAACGGGGCAAGAGTTTGTTTTTATGATTTTGGGAAGCAGAGGGGAAGGTTCCTCAGCAGTCCAGTCTCACATCAACATTGCCCTGACCACGTGCACCAACCCCTCAGCCACGAGTGGCCAGTTTGCCCCTGTAAAACAACCAGCTGGTTACGCAGCATCATGGAAAAAGGGCAAAGGGTGCAACATGTTTTCCTGACACCCAGAGATACAACACATTCTGCACCTTCCTCAAGGGGGCAGTGAAGGGGGAGATCCTGATCTATTCTATCAGGACCAGCAATAGGATGTGAGGGAATGGAATGAAGCTGGAGTTCAGATTGGACACTGGAGAAAAGTTCTTCCCTGAGAGGGTGGTCAGTCACTGGAACAGTCTCCCCAGGGACTTTTCTTGCCCTTGATCATGGTACAAAGCCTGCCAGAGTCCAAGAAGCAAGTATGCTCTGGATGACACTCTTAAACATCCGGTTTAGTTTTGGGTACTCCTGTAAGGAGTAGAGCATTGGACTCTATGATGCTTATGGGTCCCTTTCAACTCAAGATATTCTACAATTCTAAGTTGTAGTAATTCAACATCCTCCTAGACACCAAAACAGCTGTGCTATGTCTTCATGGGTGTGTATGTTACTTGACCACAAACCTCCAAATTTCTGCTGTGACTACAGAGGTTCAACAAGGACTAGAACTACCCTGTCAAGGGCATGTAGATATTACACACACATTAAAGCTATGCAGCTTAACAAGAGGCTAACACAGATAAAACAGTAGAGCCCACCCAGTAGGACAGTGTTTATAATCTATGGGACTGTTTGCTCTGTTATACCTTCTTAGAGCATAGAAAGAAAAGCAAGATATATTGTCGAATTCACCCTCATATCAGTATAAAATTTTATTTTTAAAAATCTAAATACAGCAAGGCCCTAACAGACTTATTTTTGTTCAAAATTGATCAAGCAAGTGCTAATGAAACACTATGAGGGCTTTTGCATATAATTCCTTAGGGAAAGAGTTTTTTTTAAAAGAATCAAGAGGTCAGACTTTTTAAAATAAGCAAAGAGATCTCAGTTTCTAACTCTGGGAGCAAAGCTACCTCTATCCTTTCTTCACTCTGCTGTGTTTCAGTATTGCTGTGTTCCCTCAATTACAGAGCTACCCCACTTAAGTGGATATGATACAGACTGCACTCCTGGCAACTTCAAGGTGTATTTTAAAGAGTTCTCATGAGGTCAGATTCACCTGAGTTACATGCCAATAACAGCCATAGCCTGTATTGGGCCAATATTACAGAACAGGATGAAAAAGCACAGCAAACACATCTTCAGTAGCACTTTCTACAACATAAACCAAACAGCCCCCGCTACACGGGAGCACATTGGTCCTGTATACTCACAAAAACATCTGGAATTTATTCACTGTTTTGGAAGGCAGTTGTAACTGTGTGGCCACCACCTGGAAGCCCCAGTGTCCATGGCAGGAGCTCCTCCTCACCTACACAACCTGGTCCTCAACCAAGAAGCTTCGATTCCTTTACTTCAGAGGGAAGAATCACCATTCCCAGAGCCTAGGTATAGTTTTTGGAGAAACACTACAATTCACGGAGCATGCAGAACAGCCAGTTTAGCAAGATCGTGCCTAAGTAGGCACTGTTACTCAATTAGCTGAGTTGGCTGAAGGTTTTCCCATTGTAACACGACTTTTCTATTCTAGTATTATTTTCGGTGAAAAAAAAAAAAAAAAAAGAAAAAATCAGTGGGGATGGGTGGGGTTTTTGCGCAAAACTTGTTGCTTTTAATGAAAAAAAGGTTGCTTTTCTCAATATTTTGCTGTTTATTTCTGTTGGGAAAACTTGAAACACATAATTTTTGTCAGAAAAATATCAGTTCACGTCTGTCCGAATTCCTCTAGTGTCAGTTGGGAGCTATAATTCAAGGGTTCCATGGTCCCCTCTTTCCCTGGGCACCTCTCCAGCCTTCATGACGCATTCCGTGTTTGACTAACCCATGGTAAGAGCATCATGGGATCTGTAATTCAGCCAAAGAGCTCATCCCCAAGGCGGACACAGTGCGCAAAACACTTGAATGAGAATTTCTGAGGGCTGCAACAGTAGCTCAAACTGATGCTGCTTTAAGGGCCAAATGGATTTAATTAAATGTTTCCATTTCAAAAGGCTGGAACATTTTATTCAGTGTTTTCCAGCTGACAATTTCTCATTTTTTGAAAAATTTCCATTCCAGGAAAATGTTTGGTATTTCAGCTTTCCATGTCAATTCAGAATGAAATTAAATATTCAAGAATCAGATTTTGATGCTATATAGACATTCAGTTTGGGAAACAGCCTTATTACGTAGCTATCAAAAATGAAATGGCTTCATCCATGCAAGAAAGGTGTGATCCAGTTTGCCTCTGACATCAGTGGAAGCCACTGTTTTAGCTTAATGGAGCCTGGATAGCATCCCAAAAGACCAAGGAAGGGTGAAGTTGATCATAGTTAAACGTATTGGAAACAGGAGTCAAGAGTGAAAGAGCAAGGATATAAGAAGCAGCAACTAAGATGATCTGTTATCTGCACTTGATCAAAACTCAGTTTTACTTGAGTAAGTAACAGGAAGAAAATTCATTAAGATTATAAAACCTAATTCCCAGTTGCAGTAAAGACAGCAGTCAATCACTACCTTGTAGAGTAGAATAAATCCACAGTATGAATTTGTCATGAGCACTATAACTTTCAATGTTCAAAGCATTTCCTCAGAAAACATTCATAGACTCCATTCAGGGAGACTGCTCTAAGATAATGGTATGCTACTGAACTGCTTGCCTCAGGTTGTCTGTGCTCCTTTGAAACCCCCAAAAACTGTTCTGTTGGATTGGCATTACAGAAGCTCTGTCAGGGGGGACCAGGGTCTCTGGACTTTGAGCACATCTGCAGGTGGAGATCAGCTAAGTGTGGGCTTCCAGAGCTGAGACTTTGGATGAAGACTGGGCACCAAATCCATCCTCTGTATTGCCCAAACTGGTTTGGGATGTAGCCCCAAGCCTTCCACTTCAAGGAGTAAAAGAGGACCCCCAGGGAGTCTACATCTATCAGCAACAGGGCGTATGTTGAAAGCAAGAGAGCACTCAGAACAGTAAGTAAATCAATTTGCTCAACCATAAGGGTTCTAGAGAATTGGGATTTGTTTATCTTTCATTTCCCTTTAGTACAAGGTAGATGTTTCTAAGTAATAAGCAGAAACCTCTACAACTTTTAAAACTGAAGAGGAAGGGAGGGAGGAAGAAACATGTACAAGCTTTGAGGATGTTCTCAGCTCCAGCTTAAAAAAAAAAAAGCAAAACCAAAATCACACACCACAAAAAATGAATATCTGTAAAAGCAAGTTTTTCCTTAAGCTGTTTGGTAATTCTTAGTTCACAGGAGCATTTATCCAGAAGGTTCTTCATGTTTCCAGTCTAGGTTGTAGCAATCTCAGTGAGGCACTAAAATTTTAGGCTGTTAAAGTCTCTCTGTGCAGCACGGTCATTTTAAAATGATGTGGTAGCCATCATTGCTTTCAGCTGTAACAAAGAAATGCAAAATGAGTTTTCATTGCTTTTAGGAAACACCAGAGGTACAGAACTTCAGATTTTCTTCCTAGGTAGTCTGTAATAGTTTCTACTCTTGGTCCACAACCCACCCATGAAAATCAATGCTGAGCATCTAGGTCAAATAATTTACATTAAAAAACCCACATACTGTCATCTTTTATAATTTACTATAAGTTTTTCTGCTTATTTATGTCAGTGGTATCAATGAATTTATGAAATTTTTATAATACTAACTGAGAGGAAAGCATAAGATCAATCAGTCTATCATAATGCAGTCAACACCTCAACTTACACTAAATTAGATTATCTTTTCAGGATAACAGCACTGAGTTTGTGATAACATTTAGTGCAATTGAAAGCACGAATTATCTTTAGAGCCACAGGTAATAGCAGCAGCAATACATACCTTTTAATGTGCTGATAACAAAACAAGATTCATCTTGGAAGTTTTGCACCATCTGAAGGGCAGAAGCAAAAAAGCCAACACAACATTTTTAGCAATTAAATTCAAGTTTCTTTCAGTATCAGTATAGACTTGGAGGAGGGGTATCAAACAGCATTTGGTGTCTAGTCCTACACAGTCCTGAGCAACCCTGCCCATGAGATTATTAAAGTACACGGCTGATTAATTAAGGTCCTTGCAGTTGCTAGAGTGTTTAAGAGAAGCTCATGCTAGAAGTGCTTGCCTGAAGCAGCTCTTGATCCTGCAGGTTCTTATACCACTCCAGTTATTCTATTAAAGACCATGCTCTTAATTGCCTTCAGTGAAGCTGTTCTAGTTCAGACTGGATGAAGACAGACTCTTTCCTAAGATCTAACAGTGGTAATTACACATTCAGCTAAACTATGGAGCTCAGCTGAGCTTACATTAGCATTTAAGTAACATGTAGAGGTGGGTAAGCCCCAGGAAATGGACTCCTTGCTGGATAAAGGAATTGCAACTGAAAAGCCATCTCAGCAGTGTCCATCTGGTTACTTTGACCAGACATTAGTACAGATGCTGTGCTTGCAGGAGCCATTTACTTGTTTGTATTTCATCAAGGAACAGGAATCTTAGTGAAACTACCATAAGAGGCAAGGCAAATCACGGGAAGAAAGATTAGAACCTAAAGCTATTTGAGTTATTCATGAGAAACAACTGGATTTTCAGAACAGGTGCAGGTTCTAGAGACATCTCTAAATAAAGAGGTGAGTTAAGAAATTCAGATGACTTCAGATCCAACATGAAAAGCCCATTTAAGCTTCATCCTTAGTCAATGGTTCCTCCCATCTTAGAGTAGTTACACGGGACAGAGGACATGAACTACCTTCAGGAGGTGTCTCATACAGTTGAAGCAAATGCTGGACACAACTTGAAAGGAGGGAGATGTGACCAAATCCTGTCTGATGAGCTCATAAAATCCAGCTTTAAGAAAAAGCCTTCTCCTAGATATTGAACAGCATTCAAGCAGTGCACTTTCCAGCTCTAAGTTCTCACACCAAAATACCGTTTTCAACTTAGACTAATCCCTCTATTCTCTTTTGGGTTTAACATCCAGACCCTGCTCCTGCAAATCAAACTTCACTGGACAGTTTGTGTTTTTCTGCCTAACGATGCATGAAGTACACTCACAGAGTGCCTCACTCTTGCTGCTATAGCACTAAAACAAGACAAAAAATATTTAAAAAGCCATAGACATTGTTAATAATTGACTTAAACAAATACTTTAAGCCTTATACCCAAGCTGGTTCATGCAATTCCCCTACCAAGTGTTGCCTCCAAGCACTTTGCATCCATAAAGCATCAAAGTTTCAGATTTAATCAGGCTGGAATAGCAAGGAGACTTCAGAAATAAGCATTACAGCCTTCAGTTTAGGCTCCAGTTGAGACCTATGCTCTGCTTCATTTGTTTTAACAATGCTTCTTATAAATGAAGTTCCTTAAGTGATTCTGGTGCATGAATGAGTAAGTAATTTAGTAGGGGGGAAAGAGGAAGAAGGGCAACTCACTATTAACCTCCAAGTTAATGGAATGGACTACATTAAGCCATCCTATAATGGGACACAAACAGCTAGCAGAGGTCCATTAAATTATAGCATGCACTTATATGGCACTGACTGACCCAGTGGCTGTAATCGCTGGCCAAGATGTAATACTAATTGCCCTACAGATTTTCAAACTTGCCTTAAGAAACTTATTAATTTAATTTTAAAGGTTGTTCTTACTTTAGATCCTCACTTCAAAATTTGTGTAAGTAGTAAAAATGAAAAGATATTCATAGAATCATTTAGGTTGGAAAAAACATCTAAGATCATCAAGACCAAATGTTGACCTAGACATCTAGTGGTGCCAGCAAGTGCACCACTAGACCATGTCCATAAGTGCCACATCTACACATCTTTAACAGCCCCAGGGAGGGTGACTCAGCCACCTCCCTGGACAGCCTGTTCCAATGCTTGACAACTCTTTTAGTGAACAGATTTTTTCCTAATATGCAATCTAAACTTGCCCTGGTGCAACTTGATGCCATTTCCTCTCATCCTGTCACTTGTTACTTGAGAGAAGAGACTCGGCCCCACCTTGCTACAATCTCCTCTAAGGTAGTTGTAGAGAGCAACAAATGAGCAATTTTATTCTGTTTTGTTTTGCTTAAAAAAAAAAACAAACAAAAAACCCAACCTCTTTTACAAAGCAAAGGTCTTGAAAACACACCAAAATCAATGCTATGCATGACTGATCCGCTCTAAGTATTTGCTTTAACTTGCTGGGATTAGTAACTTTGCAATGCTCGAAGATGCATTCCATAATCTGAATAGTTCATTCTAGCATCAAGAAGTCAGTCAATTGTTACAGCTCCAACAAAGTTTGCATTAACCCCTTACCTCATTGCTCACCAATACATGGATCCCTGTGGGTCCCTGCCGATAGATCCGGTTTATCTGCTGTGGAGAAATGCTGTACAAGTTTGCAATCTTCTCCATTAATTCCAGCGTGGTCAATTCTTCTAAGAAGATTGCATGATATACTGCAACAAATTGAAAGTACTTACAGAACAGCACATACAGATTGTACCAAGATCCTCAGCTTCAACAACCAAATGGGTTTAAAATGAAGGTTCAAAACTTGACAGTAGATAAACAAGCTTTGTTCCTTTAAAATATCTAGCTTGATGCAGAAAAAAACCCCAGTACTTGGATGCAGCAGGCAATTAAAGAATACACAACTTTTACCTAGAGGAAAACACAGGTACTAATGACAACATGCATCATGGGGCACTAAAAAAGCCCTCTCATAAAGATGCTAATATTTTTTGATAATCTACTTCTACTGATTTTGACATTTTTAAAAAAATATGTCAAACTTCTGATACTATGTAACACAAAAGCAGTATTTTATTAGATGCCATCCACTAATCCCATAGGCACAAACTAAAGCATACAATGTATAAGGTAACTACAGGTGACAGTATTGTTTTATAAATCCAAACCAAATTACAGGAACCAGGTAGGAAAGTTATGCCTGGTTATTACTAAGTGCAAGAATTAAGGACAATCTCTATTCTCATTTGATTGTACATCATGCCATAAGTCATGACAAGTCTCCAAAAGCTTTGAACTTTCAAGAATTAGAACCTCACTTTAGGGCCTAGTGACCTTCCACTTCCTGGAATTTTTTCAGACAAGACATAATCTGAAGTAAATTGTGGACAGAAGAGTAGTTTTTTTAATGCTGTTTTCCCTACTAATAACTGAATAAAGATTTTGCTGTGGCATTCTGCAGCTAGGTTGTAAGTTGAGTCTGCTCCCCAGACAGATGGTATCAGTTGGAATTTGTAGACCTGGAACTATAATCAAAGTGGCAGAAGTGGGATAAACAGGACCTCTTCAAACTCTTCAGGACACTACAGTGTCCCACACAGGACCTCAGGCAGAAAGCAGCATTCTTACGAGGTGTTTATTGAGATCCATACGTAAAAACTTACCACAAAGACTGCCATCTCCATTGTCTCTTTTTTGGTGGAGATGGGACCTGTTTTGCTCTGGTTCTTGACAGACATAAATTGTCATCTTGGGCCTTACATTTCTATGGATTAATAAAAAACAGTAGTAAGTTATTTAGTAGATGTAAAATTGTTTCAAGTCAGCTAACAAACAATGAGAGATGGAATCATTCAGGCTGTGCATAAATAACAAACTAAGGGACAGTCTTGATGCTGGTGACTACATGTCTTAGGACATCTATTAAGAGACCCCTGGGAGGTAGTGCAGAGCACCTTAATCTTTTCAGGATCAGATAAGACTAAACAGTTTACAGCAGTTGTCAAGCAGTTCATCACACCTGCCTCTACTGATTTAAATCCTGCCCAGCTGTAGAATTTCTGAGGTTACTGCAATGAAAGTACGTTTAAGAGTCACTTGAGGCTCCAGGGGTTCGTTGTTTTGTTGTTTGTTATCTCTAATGGAGATTTAACATAGGGTATTGTAGACTGTGTCTCTCAGGAAATGGATGTAAGCTATCAGCTGGTAGCAAAAAAACCATTGAAGACCTACATTATGCTGCTTCATATATTGGCAAAATTTCTGAGCTATGCTTGGATTTGAATACCATTGTGATCTCCAGCCTCTGAGACAAACTCTCTGAAGTACTAAAAGGAAGTCTAAATGCTACAGCTCCAGGATTAACTTCTAGTTAACACTGAAATTACCAAGGGATGCTGTCAAAAAAAAAAATAGAAAGGAAATAGTACAAACCTTCCTTTAATTGCATTAAAGAGCCGAATTCCATCAGCAGGTCCACAGATTTGAACAAAATCTTCTTTGGACATCTTCAGTAAGTCGGCACCTACATATTTCAAATTGATTTTTTTTCAGAAGTTAAGCAAATCTTAGTATCCAAACTGTGTGTATGGGCAGCAGGAAAAGGCAGGGGGAGAGAATCCACAAAACTCAACCAGCTAGTTTGCATAGAGAAGTTGCAAATTCAGAGAGGTGTACACTTTAGATCAGTCCTTGTGAAACAGAAAGCTAGAAGCTGCCAAAAGAGCAGTGCTACACTGGAAAATATTCTAGCCAACTCAGAAACAAGCTAGATATTTAACTGGCCATTAAATGACCCAATTTTCTCTAACTGTCACGTTCACCGGGTTATTTAATCATGCTGCAAGTCAGAGAGAGGCTCCTCGTGGTTTCAACATCTCTAACAATTGCCCCTTCCACCATCCTTCTGGTTTGTACAACTACCTAATGGGAGGGTACATCGAAGATGAAAACAGATATGTCTCAAAACGTGGACAGGGACAGGATGAGAGACAGCAGAGAGAAGATGGAAAATGCTGATTAGATATAAGAAAAACCATTTTCACTGTGAGAGTAGTTAAGTATTTGAAGAGGTTGTTTAAAAAGACTGTGGAATTTCCAACCTTGGAGATAACTCAAAGGCAACTCCACAAGGTCCTGGACTTGCTTCAAGCAGACGGTTGCACTTAATGAACTCAAGAATTCCCTTCCATTTTAATTAATTCTCTTCCACCTTTACCTATTCTGTATGTCTACAAACTGTTCTGACAAATGCTAATTACTCTAAGAACAAAAGAACAACCACACTGGATCACACCAGTGATCCCATCAACAGTGGCCAGCAGCAGATGATACTAATATGAAGCATGAGCTGCACTTTTACAAAAGAGAACAAAAACCAAAATAATTTGACTGTTTAAACTCACCCGAAAAACTTGAGAAGAGTCTACAGAATGGAGAGAACCTATTACGATGAAGCCACTGCTGGGCATCTTGAATAGAAGCAGAAGGAAGGAGATGCTACATTGCAAAAAGAATAAGAAGGTCTTGAAATGAACTGTTCACCAGTGTCCTAAAAGAGAAAAGCACCACATTAACATGATCTCAAGTACTTACATCATTGCTGGGAGGCAGGAGCTCCATTTGGTGGGTTGGAGAACTGTTGCTAAAAGAAATTATATAAAAGTTGAAAGAGAAAAAAAAAACACATTACTTTAAATTCTACATTGCAGTGTCCATTCTCTTCCCCCTCTCCTCTATTTGACTCAACTTTCACAAGTTACACACCAATTTGGCTTTCTTTCTCTATCAGGTTTTTAAAAAGGTGTCCAAAATCTGGACCAAGAAAAGAATAAAAAAACTTTTTTCTGCTTGAGCCTTTTGTTAGTCAGTTGAGGCCCTACTCAACACTCAACACAGAGGAAAAACTCACATTTACTGACCTCTTTCAAGCTTTTGCATACTGGTGACTCACTAACATGACATAACTAAGCAAGGAAATTGTAACCTACAGGGTAGTTGAACTCAAAATTTCTATGAGCCAGAAATAACCTAATAATAATTCTTCACAAAAATTGAATAAAGGACCTTATAATTCAACCCTAGCATTATTTTAAACACAGTAAATAGCAATTTAACTATATTACACAAAACCACATTTCTACTAAATCCTCCTAAACATAGACAGGACTTCTAAACATGTCAAGGATTTTATCAAAGAGCTAATAATCTACAACTGGAAGAAAATGCTCAACAGATCTCTCTACTAACTCAAAATTTTGTAACTTCAATGTTTCTCCTTATTCATAGGTTGAGGCCACTGATTGAAAATTTGTGATACAACATGGATTGATTAATAAACTGTGTGGGAAGGCAGTCAGTTGGCAGAGTCCTACCAGAATAAAAAGAAAGGCCTATGCCAAATTCCTAGGGGAAAGTATGCTGCAGGGAGGACTCAGAAGTACTGAAGGACCCTGTTGTACATTTCTGACATCAGTTATCATTTCAGGATTACTAGAACCGTTTCTTTATCATGGCTATATTAATGAATTAAACATGCCTCCACCAGTCCTTTGTTCTGAAATGGCTTCTCAAAACCCAGGCTGTTTTGCCCCAGGCAGGATTTCTCTACATCCCATTCACCTGGGAATTCAGCACCCCAAACCACCTCAAGATAGAAGGTAAGGAAGAAATGACAACTCTAAAGAGGTGCTGAAAGCCTCTAACAAGCTTGCGAGAAGATACTGGGAATTGGTACAGGGTATGGTGTGTTCTTACCAGGAATTGCCCTGGTGGTCCTCTGATGCTCACCTAACAGTCAGTATGTAAACAGTGGACATACAAATTATAGGGAATTCCTGGACAAAAGGTCTTAAAAGGCTTTAGGGACATACTTTCCCCCTTCCCAGAAAGGGTGGTCCTTGACCTCTTCTTCCAGGGTATGAAATACATGGACACACAAAGCTTATGCACCCAAAGGCTACCACATCAATAGGAAAGATAAAGCATTTATTTGTTACATACCCATCTCCGAGGTTGAAGCTGTTGGGAGAACTGTTGTAGCTTGGAGATGGAGCATTGTTCATTTGATAAGGCACATCTGGCCAGGGAGAGCACTGTTGGAAGAAGGGCAGCAGGGATACTTTCATAAGGATGGAAATAAAGGATTTGATTCTCCTCTAATACCACATTCATGCTGTTGCCACACCACTAACTTCAGCTCATCACTCCTGCTGGGAGGAGAAGATGGGCCATGGATTTTCTACACTGCTCTCCAAGCGGGCTGTCAGGGGGCCAGATTGATTCCAGTTGTGCATTCCACATTTCTTTCTCCCATTTCACAAAGCCTGTCCCCAAATAACACTGGGCCAAAGTGTGCACAGCTGTAAGTCAGAGCAACGCCAGTAAGTCAACTCAGACTGGGAGGCAGCAATGATACAGAAATACCCCTGGTCTCAATTATAAATCCCTAATTAAATCCAGGCAAGAGTGACAAATACGGTCCAGTGGCATTGCTTCAGGTTTATACCAGTGAAAAAGCAGAATCTGAACCAGCCTGCTAAAGCCTCTGGCGATCAGTCAAATAGCCCCAGTCATAAATGGATATTACATGGAGAAATAGACAGACAGACACAGAGCTGCTAAAAGCCTTCACAAATATAGGTCAGACTCCACATTCCATTACAGTAGTATAAAACCAGAGTAACCCAGCTAGAATTGGTGACTCTGTTCTGAATTTAAGCCAGTGTAATCAGTAGGAAAATCTACCCCTTTGGAACCCCCTGCCATCAAGAGCTCAAGAAAATGCTCTGCAGTATCCTTGTTTGCAATGATAAAAAGACGACAAGTGTAGCTTTGCAGCTTTATCATCTCCACAAACACTAGCAAATGCTTTATCATCTCCACAAGCACTGGCAAATATTTAACTCTTTGGCAACTCACATTTCCCCATGCAATATGTCAAAGTGCAGCAGAGCTCATAGGAGAGTTTGGGATCTGCCAACTCAATAGAATTAGGTCCATCAATTAGGAAACATGTTGGTTGCTCCTGGCAACGTGAGGAAAATTGAGTGGGAGGGACTGGATCTCACAAACAGGAAGTTGATTTAAATTAAAAATAAATTAATGTAATTTTTGAAAGTCCAGCAAGCCACTTCGAAAAAACCAAGAACTAAACCTAATGACAAGACGTTCCCATAGGGAGACTGAACTGCACTTTTAAATGCCTTCCATGAGTCCTGTTGCTTAGTAATTCTGCAGCCTAGGGTAAATTTTATGTATAAATCTTAGTAATGACAGGGAGGGGTAGAAACACATACAACTCTACACCAGATGCATCAGAAAATAAGACATTCAAGATACTCCTAGAGTAAAACCCAGAATCTTCTCATATGTTGTATGTAACAGTAGCTTCATAGGCACATTCACAGAAAAACATTAATCATTTCATCAGACAGGTCTATTCATCTGCTCAAGTGCCCCATCACCAACATGAACTTTTGCCAGACAGTTCTAAAAAAAAAAAAAAAAAAAAAAATACCTCTTACAACTGGCACCTGAGGGCCATGACAAGTGCCCAGGAGCACAGAAGACTATTGAGAAAATAATTTCTTTTAAAGTTAGGCTGTTAAGGGTTGGTTTATACCCTGAAACATAAGAAGTTTTGGCATCTTTCATAAATTTCAACAGTGAGAGTCATTTTATAATTTCACTCCGCTCTCAATTTCAATCAGATTTGAGCATACATGTTTCCACAAGACAAATCTCCAGGGCTCAGTTAGATGATGTTTTCTCTCAAATTTATCTCCCAACATGATGTAGTACGTGTCTAAAATGCTTTACCTCTGTGAGAATAGTTGTCTCATAGGAAGGCTGATACTTCTCCTTCTCTTGGGTGGTCTTCTTTTCCATTTTTTCCCTGTCAGTCTTCTGTTTTCTGTCTGCTCCTTTAGGCTATAAGCACAAGCACAGGCTCTCCCTTACACCAAGTACTACAAGTTTGGAGACAAAGGCCAACAGATTTATCTAATCTGCTCACAAAAGCTTCCTTAAATTGATGGGGACTTTACATATGAAACAAGATCAGATCTGTATTTTCTAGACAAAAAAAAAAATTAGTCAAGGATCTCTACTGTTTCTACACATCACCCATGAATGACTACTGCAATTCTAAAATAGGCTGACCACAGTCCTGAGATGTGATTTCAATCATTTCAGACCATGAGCCCCAGCAGTTATGCATCTCAACTGGTGTTTGTTCCATCTTTCCAGGAACAAGAAAGACACTGCTCACAGGAGCAAAACTGGAGCAGCAGATCCTTTGAGAAAACAGGCCTATGGAAAGTTTGTTGTTAAGTAGCTACAGGTCTACCATGCCCAGATTGTAGCATGGAGAGGAACTCTGCTGAAAAAAAACCCAACAAAACAAAAAACAAACCAACCCCCCACAAAACAAAAAAAAAAAAAAAACCAAACAAAAACCAAAAACAACAACAACAATCAAAAAAAAACCCAAAACCCACACAAACACAACCCCTCTCCCCCACCAAAACTACAATGTATTTAAGATCTCCAGGATACACTCTTATTGTTCATGGAGGATTAAATCAAAGCAACTAGAGATGCCATAATGTCTTGATTGCCTAAGAACATGAAAACACTGTGGATACCCTAAATATCTCAGTATTTGTATAGTGTTTGAGGCACAACAGACTGGCCTAGGTCTTGGTGCAGCACTTGGATCATTTGAATTCAACTAGAATTGCTGTGTAGTTCAGTGTTTATGCCACCTTGTGCACAACGGTCTTGTTTAAGATCTTAAGCACACCCAGCTAAAAGTCTGTTCTTTTACTCCACTATTTGCATCACTCCTACACAATTTAAAATCTTGGCATGTTCCTGTGGCTTAATCTAGTTGATGACAAAGCCAAAACTACCTCATACCTTGAACACTTTGATCTGGCAGCTTGCAGAATGCAAGTGTTCTGTGTATTCACCATTTTCATTCTGCTTAAAGGTGTCGATTTGCACCCGGAAGGGCACCCCCTTCTCTCCTCCATGTTTCCGTGGAGTAAATTCTGTGCTGATGCAATGTACCTGGCAAAATAGAAGCTGTGCTCATCTCTGGAGACAGTTGGAACCTGTGCAAATCTGAATTTCAGAAACTGCCTGAATATGACATTTTGGCTCCTCCCAAAAAACTAAGAAAGGCAGAAGAGTTCATATGTTTTCATTTCTGTTCCTCAGGACAAAACAATTAGAAGAACAAGCAGTTCAGACAGAAACAGGGCATCAGGAAAAGCATCCTTTGAACCCTTCATACAGCTTAAAAACAGGGTTGGAGTTCAGAATGAGAAATACTCATGAAGGAGGAAACCAAGCAAAACCAAGATTACGAACAGTTTCCTCCAGACAAAACTCACACGTGGAAAGCAACATCAGTGTCACATGAGTTTGTATATTATCATTAACATCTTTGTCTCTCCTTCATCTCCTGGTTACTCTAACCCTTCAGGTCTTTGTAAGATATCCACCCACTGTATTGACCCCAGAACTATCACTTCTCTCTTACCTGAATGAATGCTGAGGCTCTCTTTGACGGATCCCAGAGAAATTCAACAGTGTTCAACTGGGTTGGGCTAGCCCTGGGATCCAAGATACCAACTGACAGCGGAATATCTGTAGAAGAAAACCCCTAAAATTTTAAAAATATTAAATTCAAGAAGAGAAAGCATTTCCAATTACAATTACAAGATGCATGTGAAAAGTGAAGCCACCAATGAGATATCTATTTTGGACCTACGGTGCTAGATCTCCTTCCCACCCAAAGACATACAGGATTCCTATGACAGTAGGATATATAAAAAAAAAACTAAACACAGATGCAAACACTCCATACACATGATTCAGCTTCCAAACACTGCCCAGGTACTGTAATGAAATAGTCTCACCTATATCAAGGATGCGGTCCCCGGGCCGACTCCACCTCCAGCCCTCGAGCTGCTGGTGCTCCGTGTACTGCAGGCGTCGGTCGTGGAAAACTACACGAATTATGCTCTGTTAAGAAAAGACAGCAATATCAACACTGTGATCCAAAAGCCCCTTCTCTTGAGATGACTTCTGTTTTCCAGAGTAGAAGCAAAAGCTGATCTGTTATGTTTCTCACCCCCATTCATGAGGAGAGTTGAGGGTCCACCTAAGAGACCCATCACCATGTTTATCAATTCCTAAGGGACCCCTGAGTGAGAGAGAAACACACTTCCCCCTTCACAGGGCACATCTATACTGCATAACACAGCCCTGTACAGCTTTCTGGGATTCACTCTGGAAGCACTATAGGCACCTCATCTTAGGTGTCATGCCATGTAAACATCACTATACTGCCTCCATACCCAAAAAGGCTCATATGGGGGTAATATTTAATGTGTCTGTACCATGTCCCAACCCCAATATACCCCATTCTGATTAGCAAACGTGGAAGCCAGCTCACCTGTCCCTGCACCAGTGGAGCTGACATGTCCAGATACCTTGTCAGTGGGAATTAAAACTTGATTCCAGCCATTAACAGCCAGTCACTGATTTGCCCAGGTGTAGTTAAACAAGTCTAGAATAGGAAAGCATCTGTAACAGCAAGCTGGCCTGCAATGGTGCAGCCATGTCAATAACTGGAGAAAAAAGGCTGGAATAAAGGCAATCCCCAGGGCAGACAAGTCCTAATACTCCTAACTAACATATCCTTTTGTATATTGAGTGCTACACTTATACGAGTTAATGACCCCTAACATCCCAGTTTATCAAGCCCATACTCCTGTTGGGGACTTCCGTATCAAATGAGTGGGCAATTTTTGCCAATGAACCTGAGAAATGCCCAAATCAAACCCTAGCTTCAAGAAGCAAGCAAGCCACAGTGGGAACACCTGCAAAACTGGAATCCCAATCCACACACTACCTGAAATGGGCCAAAAGACAAATAGGGAACTGCCTAAACTCGGACAACATTTGAAATCTAGCTTGGAATACAAATTTTGCAACTGGTCCCCACCTCTCAAAAGAAATCCTGAGGCAGAACAGTCAAGAATTGAAGATTGGATCCAGAACCAAGGTCCGGACCAAAGTTTTTGAATTTGAACTGTTTTGGGAGTGGGGGAAACAAAAAAAGAAAATCCTCCCCCAAACCAAATGATCAAGTTCTGTATGTTCATCAATATGCCCATTACCAAAGTAAACTGGAGCTATGCAGAGTCTGCCTGGCAAAATGATATAAACACCTGGGCCCTCCATGTGACATGTAATAGCCCAGGCATGTTGCTGGGGTTAAGTAGGGAGACAAGTCTGCCTCTCAGCAGCTTTGACCATGTTCACCACTGAAGTTTGGGATTCCCCTGAACCCAATATTCACTGTGAAACTCTGGGGTCATGATCACAAACAGAATAAAGGTTCCCCTGAAGCCCTGCAAAGCCAAGCTGCATAGTCCCGTGAAACTAGCACTCAACAACTTCATCAGCCCTACTCCCACTAAAAACAATGGCAAAGTGTTTTCCATTGTATTAGTGTGAGCAAGGTCAGGCCCTTCATTAAAGGCTGTATGTAGTAGCAGGAAGAAAAGAAATCTATATTTCTCCTTACCTTTACATATTTTGTGTTTAAATCTTGAAACTCTCCCAATTTCCTATTCTCAAGTAGACGGATTTCATAAGACTGACCTAGAGTTTAAGGAAACATTTCCAAGGTGTTTAATATGTTGTAGCAATGAGAGAGTCATGCTGGCATTTATGTGGCTGATAAAGCATACGTTTGATCAGGGAAAGCTTATTTTTGCTAACATAATGCATTTGCCCCGGTAATCATTAGGCACTAAAGCACAGCAGAAATCTGAGGGGAAGGTTTGCCTTTTGGCAACTAAAATCTCTCCATTAGGGCATCAATTATAGCTGTCTCCCAGGGCTGCTATACTTTTCTGGTTGCCCTCCAGAAAGTCACCAAGGTGTTCAAGACAGTTGTCCACCCATGTCACATGGCTGTGACAGCACTGTCTTTGTCTGTCCCTTCTGCTAAAGCAATCGTTGTGTGAAGAGATGCTGGCACAACACATCTAGGCACTATTTTGCAGAGGATAGAAACCTGGGCAAAATCTTCCCTTTTCCAGAGAGCAGTCAGGTCTGTAAGGTGTTTTGGTGAACCAGAAATACAAAATGTGTTCCATAAGGCCTGGGAAGTTGCTGCCCAGGGCATAAATACTCCTTTAGATATGTGTGTGGAGGCGGTGGGGTATTACAGCATTTGCAAGGACCAATTCTGGGAAGGGAATTCATACTCCAGCACCCCACACCACCCTCAGAATAAGGAATTTAGCCGGTTCAATAGAAATTAGCTAACTGGTTTATGAAACATCTCTCTCCAAGGCTGACAGCAGACAAATGAGACTGATGTCTCAATACCTTACGCACAAATTACTACAACAGTACAAAAGCTCATTGTTTTATAGCAAGTCTTTACAATAAACCTGCAGCCAGTACCAATGCAGGACAGGATCATTAGGATTAACGGAGTACACGTATACCTTATTTCTTGGTTTTCTTGCTATCCTCTCTTTTCCTGAAAAATGTACAGGGTATGACAGGGCACCAAGAAGATCAGTTTGGGTTTTCTGGCCCAACTAGTATCTCCGCAGAACTGGCCCTGCAGAAAACTGCAAAGCAGATATACCTCCCTTCAAGCAGCTCCTATCAACAGAGACAAATCCACTACATTTCTGGATCCAGATCTAGAAATGGAAGACTTATGACAGCAGATGTATCAGAAAGGCACTGCATTACACAGAGATTCCCTTTTGAGAATCCCACCTGCATGAGTACAGAACATATCAATAGAGCACATGGATAACTGTGCTTATTCAGCTGACTGACAGGTAGTAAAAAAAAAAGGGGGGGTGGGGGGGGCAAGAGAGGCCATATTGAATCCCCAAATGTTTGCACAACACTCCTACAGATGTTAATAGGAATTCTGGAAACAGGAAGTGACCCTTAAATCCAGCAAGTGGCTTAGGGCACAGGCAGAGGGGAGAATAAACCATATGAAGTATCAAAATAAGCACTGGAAAGATGCATAAATCTTTACCCATCTCTTTGCACATGAGTAAAACAAAATGACAACAGTCACCTGCCTTTGAAGACTGCTGGACAGCAAGAGTGGATTTTGTAAACTGCAGTCCTGAAACTGAGGTCTTCCACACTTTAACTCAAGAGACTTTCTAGCATTCTCACTGATACATGTTAATATTGTTCACTTGGCAAATTTTAGACAGATGTACATACTACCCTACATAATCCATGCTGTTGCATTAGCATAAAAAGATCAGGGTCGGGTTAAAAAAAACGCGTTTTCTCTCATAGAATTATAGAAAAGATCAAGTCTAACCATTAACCTTGGACTGCCAAGTCCACCACTAAACCATGTCTCTAAGTGCCATGTCTGTTGTACTATGTACTTTTATATGCTGTACCTGTTTATCTATGAAGTACTTGGCTGCTCAATGGTTCAGTTTGGGGATAGATTTCACCAGCTATGGAGTGATACAGTTCATCATCTCAAACCAATTTACACAGCCAAGCAACTCTCGCACTTACAGTTCATTCCAATGCAAATATGAGGCTAATTAGTCATTACAGAAAATTAATTTAGGTTTTGAGACCATGAGTGCCCAAAAGACAGTATCTATGACTGTACTCAGATGCAATAACAGGGACAGGGAAATTCAGTGGTATGAGCTGTGCTACAGAGGAAGGCAATGGTCAAACCAGAAGCACTGCCAGCCATTCAGCAAATATCTCAGGAATGAGCAGGTTTTTGGGACACCTTCACATACTGATACACTCTTACTCTTTTGTCAGCCCGATTCACTTATTTGTGGTTCCAATGAGACAAAAGAAAATAATGGGCATAAAAACATTGGCCATGTTCCTTTCACAGTACCATCAAGCACTCAAAAACTCTGCAGCTTGCATCTTCCACCCCTTAATGGCATAGGAACAGTACTGCAACCTGGCAGCCAGCAGGCACTACACATCTCCCTCTACCTGATAGGACTGATTCACCTTGGATGGAGCTAGAAACACATTCTGCTGCCTAGAAAAAAAGAAACTGCAGTGTAGACAGAGTTAATATTAAACAGAAAGCCAAAGAGGAAATAAAATGGTTTGATGAAAGATATATGGGTCATCTGATGGAGGCCCTGGAATGCAATTTATGCCAGGAAAAACCTCAAGCAAAATGGTATTTTATGCTAACTGCTTTCCCCTTGAACTCAGAATCTTTAACTCTAGTTGCTACACAGAACGATTATCAAACAAGACTGCTCCCAGTAAACCTTCAGAACACATGCAGTTTGTTTCCCTCTCTGTGAAACTCTGTCAGTGAGAATTCAGTCCTAATTTCTCAAAGTTCCTTTATGTATCAATCTTTTGGTACTGATTTTGAATTTATTCCCCTTAGATCTTTCCAGCAAATTCATTGCTTCGTGGCTCATGGTACACATAATTCATTAGCATAGACAGCATTCAGATCCTTGTACTTTTATAGCACCAAACTGCTTGGATTATACCTTTTCCTTGAAAAATATGTTCCAAACCTTGTTCAGTCTATGTCTTCCACCATCACTATCAACAAAACTCCTGAAATGGTGAATTACAATCTCAGCCCTGCAACTATAACTGCAGGAGGAAAAAAAAACCCTAAAGAATGACCACTTGGACATTAAAAAACAAAATCATTTTGTAAAATAAAGTGAACAATAGCGACCTAACCTGAAGAAAGCTGAACTCCCCCTGGCGTCAAAGAGGACAAAGAATTCACACAAGGCTCAGATACACAGATCATCTATGAATCCTCTATCACTGACTCACCAGCACTGGCAGGCACAGACTGACAATTTTCTGCTAAAACTAAATCAGTAATAGATCATTCTTAGTCAGGTATCTAAATCTGTAAAGAAGCATGTCAGCAAGTGTGACTAAAGCAATCCGTATTTCCAGTTCCCAAGACAGACTGCAAGTAGCTAAGCCCAAGACATAATGCTGAAATACAGAGTTTTCCCATACTGAATTTTTCCATCTGTCTGAGATGGAAATACAGATTAATACAGATCAGACTACAACCTTCCAAGTCAATACTTGGTGGTAAAAGCTGGAGACAGGGGCAGAGGGTACCAATGCTGAAACTCTGCAGTGATTTGATTGAATGGCCCAGGTCCAGACCCTGGGCAATATCTGGTCCTCAGCTGACATGGGTTCAACATCCAGTGGGCTCAGACAGAAGAAAGAGCCTGAAAAAAAACAATTGTGGCAATGGAGGGCAGTGGTGGCTGCATTAGATCAGTCCCCCTTTAGCAGGATGATAGTCATCACCCAGTGCTAAAGGCCAGCCACGCGCTGAAACCTTTTCCTACCACACTCTCAACACTGGCCACAGCTGCACCACCATAGGCAACGCAGGTTTGAGATCACTTCACCACAGTCTGGCCACTGGTCATGGTGTAATACTGGACACATGGGGCACCTAAAGCATCTGTCACCACCTGAAATGAAGAAAACACTCTGGAAGCAAATCCCCAGCACAGCTGATGCCAAAGCAGCCTCTGCATGTCCGTACCACCCAGTGCTCTCCTCACTCACCACAGCCCTCCTTTCCTACCTTAGGCAAAGAACAGAACAGCAATAAGTAGAAAAACCACAGTAAATTCCTGAGACGCAATTTGTCTCCCATCTTCATTGAAAGCTTCAGGGGCACCAGTAAAAACCTGGGTGGGTGATGATATACTTTAATTTGTATTTTAAAGAGACATTCCCTGAGCAAGCAAATTTATGCAATCTCCTCCTAAATGAGAGTTTGAGCAACTTGCTTTACAAACAAGAGTAGTATCCAGCAAAGTAGTAACCATCCAGGTTCAGAAAGTTTCTGGTTGGTAATTCATAAAGAAATTGCATCTATCTGAAGGAGGATTTATAGACTGCTGAGGTTTTTTTAATTTGTATTTTGGTAATTAATGCACATCAAATGCAGGTATGACCACTTAATTTGGGGACAAAAGAACTGAAAGTCAACAATTTACTACAGATGAAAAATAATTTAGTTCAACACAGGAATGCTTTGACCTGCTCAAACGGTGCAAGTTTTAACAGCTTACTGATCTCCATGAAATTTGGTCAGCCATCAGGAATTCTAGGTAATTTCTGGTTAAAAAAAGATTATCACCATTGTGAGCTTGAAGTTACGTTTTGTTTGCTACACAACTAAAATATCATTCTTGCTTCTCCTTGTTTTGGTGTTACATTTCAAGGGCCACTTGCACTATGCATTTTGTGGTTTTCTGCACAATACACCGACACGATACACTAATTTCCAATTAGGATGCTGATGTTCCAGGCTGATATGACTCAGGCCTTACTTAAACTAGCAAAGTAGTCTGCTTGCCTTTCCAGCAATTAATTAAACCCTAACCTTCGACTAAGCAATATAACCCCTACAAAAGTCTGTGGAAAGATAAAAAAAAAAAAACAACAAACAACTGAGACTCCTCTTTTTCAGAATGGATCCACACAGCACTGGACAGAACCAGCCTGGAAACTGTTTGATTATTAAGCCAAGCTGGCCAATAAAAATTCCATGTAGCAACTTTATATGGACATCCTCAAGAGCGCACAGATAA